TTGCAATTAACCTGCTTCAAATTATTGCTTGGCCTAATTTTGTTATTGGTATCTTGACTTCCTTCAATTCTTCTGCTAATCTTACAGGCACACCATCTATCTAGCTAGTTCTTCAATCTTGATTTTGTTATGTTCTCTTTAGAGTTTATATATTTTTTTGAGGAATTCAGAGTTTATATATTAAATGAAAATGTTTCAGTTTTGTTGCGGATCGCATGACTTTATTAGCAAAAAAGGCTTCCTTTTTTTTTAAATTCCTCATTTTCAAATTGTTTGTATTTACCTTAAGTAGAAGCCAAGCTGTAACACCTTATATACTTTAATGAATAAATTAAAAATTAGAGTATTTTATTTTAACATTTTAAGGATTAAATTGATTAGAATTGGAATATGTGGACCTTATGTGAAATTATAAGATAATTAGAGACTATTTAACTAAATTTGTCAAATTTAAGACATGTGGCAATTTATGAACCAACTCCCTAGGGGTTTTCTCTAGAAGACTTTAGAAAGCCAAATCCCTTTTTTCTTTTTGAACTTATCCTCCCGAAACCCATTTTCTCTGCACCTTTCTTTTCCTAGTCGGTCCCCTGCCTTTTTCTCCCTTCTTTTTTCAACCAAGATTAACATGTAGGATGCACTCTTAAGTTGAAATCCCTTCAATTTCTGCAGTTCTCTTCAACTTGGTGCTTTGATTTCTAAGTAAGTATAAGTTTTGGTTATGAATTTGGGGTTAAAGTTTTGGGTGGTTTAAATTGGTGAGATTTGACCCAAATCCTTTGGTTTATAAGATTTTTAGGCATTAAAATTTCATTAGAAATATCTGTAATTTTTGGGGCTTGTACGGGGTGGATAATAAGTCATTTTCCCTTTTTCATACTTGATTTGGTGTGGATTTTATTGATTAGTACTCCTTTTATTGCTTGTATGCCTTGTGTGATTATGTTAGAATTTACATAATCAATCGGTCCTTGAACTGTGCTGAAGCTTGGAGCAGATTGCTACTTTTAATACTGTTCACATAATTACTGTTTACGTGTATTGTTCACATATACTGTTCACAAGTTATTGTTTATTATTACTGTTTATGTATTACTGTTTACAATTACTGTTTATGCATCACTATTTAGGATTACTGTTCATGTATTACTGTTCATAATTATTGTTTATACATCACTGTTCACTCACTATATTTTAATTTCTTTCAATAGGAAGTCCTAATATTATTTTGGACATATTCTGAATCTGTTTCACATGCTTATGTGTTGGTAGCTATAGAGTAAGTGGACCTAAGCTTAAAGCTTGGGGTATTCAGTGGACCCTTCGGAGTATTTAGTGGACCTATGCGCAGTAAGGTTAGTACTGTGATTAGCTCCAGTACTGTGTTTAGCTCCAGTACTGTGTTGCTAGCACACATTAGTGAACTCCATAGCATTGTATGATTTTCGGTTTT